CCCCAAAACCCCAAAACCCCAAAACCCCAGTCTTTTTAGACCAGATTGAAACTGAAGAAACACAGGTTTTAGCACATCGATCGGACCGCTAGGATACATTCGTATTTAGCTTAGGTTTACAGATTTTGATAGACAAAGTCCTCAGAACTATTTCTAGTGATAAATGTGTATAGCTTTTATCTAAGACAAAGTCAGATTAGAGGATCATCTAGTTTTAGGTAAACCGTACAAGAAGAATATATAGACAGAAATCTATGAATACTGTTCCGTTTTTAGTATCACAAAGATCGTATTAAAATTTTTACTGTTTGGTGTGTTCGATCTAAAAAGCACAAAAAAATATAACACCTTTTTAATCAAAACCGAGCTATATTGAAGCTCTGAAGTCACCATTTTACGCTACATCTATCTAGCTCCCAAGTCCTCTTAAAGCATCATTATTTTACGCATTATTTAAAAGAGAAAGAATAGACGAGCCTAAGAGAAGCAAAATAAGTGGTCTTAGATTTCTGAGAGTGGTGTTTGAGTTGAATTTAGGATGAGTTAATAGAGAAGGGCTTAACTTTGATTATGAAGTACTGAGAAGAGAATGGAGGGGTTGGGTGGGAGTGTTTGGTAAGATTTTAGCAGGTTGATAAGAAGGTAGGGTGTAAAATGATAGGGTATAGTGAAACTTTATAAACTTGTTTGGTCAGAATTCTATAGTAATCGTGATCTTTTGTCTCCACAAAATTGAAGGATAATTCGTACTAATTTTTTACATCTCTTTCCTATCATCAAAACTCACCAATAAAACCCTTTAAAGTTCATATCTATAACCTTTTAGTTTCTTTCTGGTAAGATAGAAAAGTGTAGAAGACCTAAGCATTCCTAAGGATCCTGTTGTTTTCACTAATAAGATTCATTTACTTCCAAAAATAGCAAATAAAAGAAAAGTCTTAGTTAATTAACTTAATAAAGCATCTGAAATCCCAAATTAATGCATCTTCCTACGATTTCAGCTTGTGTTGGCATCTTTAGAAGAGTTTAGAGAAGAACTCTCTACAATTCTGAGCCTTGTGATACCATTATGAATGATATTTTCCTGAATAGCAATTTTATCTAAAAGAGTTTTCTGAGTCTCCTCTAGATCTTCAAAGGTCTTCAAAGCTTGTGGATCTTCTTGAAGGGAGGTAATCCTCCTAATTTCTATACTAGTCTCTAAGGTGTTCATCTTGTCCTGGATTTCATGAACTTCTTTAAAGTAAGCCTTTACCATCTAAATTAAAGATTAGTATTTGAAAAATATATAGAGTACCATATTAAGTACGGAAAACAGATATGATATAGGTTTAATCACTAAGAGACTCATCCATCAAATAATTATGTTCTTCCTCTTATGGTACTTACCCTATTCCGCTTGTGCACGTCTTGGACTACATTGTCTCGAAAGGAACTCCGAGGAGTCTCTACCGAGGAGCTAGAGGTCTTGGAACTTGCCTCACGAGGTTTAAGAGATTTGATGTTTTTGGAGGAATTGTTGCAACCCATTTTCTTCTTTTCTGATCTTTATTAATATTACTCAAGAGTATTGCTCTTATTAGGGGTTTTGGGGTTTTGGGGTTTTGGGGTTTTGGGGTTTTGGGG